TGGCGCGGAGGGGAAATGCGACGGCCACTAGTCTTTCTAGGGATATCAAAACCACTGTAAGAGTTGAGACCACACCGGAAAAATCGTGCATGAACGTCTGCAGCTTGCAAGTTATTTCTCCTGTTACTCCAGAGAGAATCCATTTGGCTGAGGGTAATTCCAGAGCGATTTGTACAACTCTTCTAGGAATCATAAATACTGACGTGAACAAGTCTGAGATGGCCATATTCAGAACCAAAAGGTTGATGTTTCGTTTCAGATTCTTGCTTTTAAAAAGCATGTAAATAATGAGATTGTTTCCCATGAAGGACATCACAAAAACAATGACGTACGCAGTCAGCTTGCCGGCTTTCTCGGCCGTAGTGACTTTGTGTGGTGGGCACTCAAAATTGGTCATCATACCAACAGTCTGGTTGCTTGCATTATAAATGTCAAACATAGTATAACTCTCTGGAGTCTCCACCAGATAAGAAAAGCTACGGCTCCATGAAACGTTTAAAAGCTAGCAGGTGGAGCTTGTGCCGAGGTATGATGCAAAAAACGCAAATTTGCATCGTTTTAACATTTCCGGACCCTTGTTATGGAAATTTTGACACTATCTAAACGACTGCGGGAAATATATCCCTTTGACAAGGAAAAAATTATTAAAGACCATAATCTTGCTTAAGAAAGTGATTATTTCGACTTACATATCTTTCCGTAACCTAAATGGACAGAGAACCGTTATAATTAGACAAACTACCGCATAGAATGTGGTACCAACAAGTTGTGTTGTGCAAGCTGGTTAATGTTACCTCAGAGAATTGTGCCCAGGGGATATGCCTGTCTAAAACGAACGAGACACCTGCTAATTTTTGTAAAAATTTAAGTCTTAAATGGATCTGCGCTCTTAGTTAAGTTCAAAATGAACCTTGCTTTTACAAAACAATTAGTCATTCAGACTGTTAGAATAACGCTGACGGTTATCACTTTGGACCTGAAATGATATCTTACGCTTAATTGAAGCTTTAATTAGAGGTCGTCTTTCAGGTTTGTTGCAAAGAAAACAACCCACGCTGATCGATTAAGAGCCAAAACCATTTTCAATTTTTATCCGTGGAGGAAAAAATGTACAAAGGAAAATGCAAGTCCACAATGATAACATATGTTTAGTTAACCTTTAAACGAAATAAATGTTCGTGATAACAATTAATCTGATAATTATGCGAGCTAAGAGAGAGTGCTTTTTAATAAGCATCTTTCAACAAAGAAGAAATTTATCAAAAAAAATTATGTCTTTCAGTTTAATCTTAGTCGGAATGATTCAATAACTAATATTTGTAGCTCAATAGTAGAGCGTTGCAGCGCGAAATCCGATGGTCATATGTTTGATAGTGCATGTTTTCTTGTTAGTTAGAGCACAGTGCACGGCATTGTCGGTTTTTTGTTATTATTTATTTAACAAAGAGTACGCGTTTCCTCTCTTTTCTTTTATATCATGGCATTTAGATTTCAGACCTATAACTGCCATACCTTATTTTATTCGAAATTGGTAAACCATAGGACCTCAAACCACTGCTTAGCGGTCGAAATAACATATATTTATTTGCTTATGTTGTAAGAATGTTAATCATAGTCTTTACATATTGCGGTAAAATGTTTCTCTTTGCCCCCTTATATAGCACAGAACGTATGTCAAGCAACGCTAGCAAATATTAGATTGAAATATTCATAGTGGTAAAACTTCTATTAAGAGAACCGTTATAATGAGACATATTCCCGCATAGAATATGGTACCAACACTGAAGTTCCCTTGAATTGTTGTGTGATGCACATGGCTTGATTGAACAGAATCTTGGCGCTTATTTGTTATGCAAGCTGGTTTATATTACCTCTGAGAATTGCGCTCATGGATATTCCTATCAAAAACGAACGAGGCACCCGCCAATTTTTGTAAAATTAAAGACTCAAAGGGGTTTTGCGTTCTTAGTTAAGTGCAAAATGAACCTCGTTGTAAAGAAAAAAATTAGCCATTTAGGCTGTTAGAATAGCTCTGACGGTTATTACTTTGGACCTGAAATGATATAGTACGCTTCATTGAAGCTTTAATTATTTTGTGAAGGAAAAAAGTGTATAGAGGAAAATGCAAGTCCACAATAATAACATATACTAAGTTAACCTTTAAACGAGATGAATATTCGTGACAATAATTAATCTGATAGTTATGCGAGCTAAGAGATAAAGCATTTTAACAAGCATCTTTCATTATGTCTTATGTTAAATTATGTCTTTCAGTTTTATCTTAGTCGGAATAACTAATATTTGTAGCTCAATGGAAGAGCACTGGAGCGCGAAATCCGATGGTCTTAGATTGATTTTCTGAGCGGGACTTCGAAAAGTTTTTCTTTGCCACACTCTGGTGAGACAGCCGATAAAGCAAACCAGATAGAGTATATTTTCTTGTTAGTTGGAGCACAATGCACGCCATTGTTAGTTCTTTGTTATTATTTATTTAACAAGCAGTACGTGTTTCCTCTATTTCCTTTTATATCATGGCATTTAGATTTCAGACCTATAACTGCCATAACTTATTTTATTCGAAATTGGTAGACCATAGGACCTCAAACCACTGCTTAGCGGTCGAAATAACATATATCTGTTTTCTTGTGTCGTAAGAACGTTTATCATAGTTTTTGAAATATTACGGTAAAATGTTTCTCTTTATCTCCTCTTACAGCATAGAACTCTCCTTTATGGTAGAGAACAAATGTCAAAAAACGCCAGCAAATGTTAGATTGAAAGATTCATTTTGGTAAACCTTTTTCAGTTTCTTGCAATGTTTTGCTACTTTACTTCAAACGGTGATACCAGGTCAGTCACGTAATATCATGAGATATCAGGAGAGCAGACATTTCTTCTGATCGGCTACTTGCAAATTTGGGTCACCTAGATGGGCACAACACATGAAACACATGATACTTGGAAAAACTAAACAAATCTTAAGATCTAAAATCTTTGACTGTGGATGTATACGATAAATATCCTGAACTTTTACTCTGACAGAGCGCGCTCTTTCAACCAATGACAACGCGCGTTATATCCGAAATTTATTATCTATAGCTGAGGTTGGGTTCATGTTACATTTGAAAGCGCTCCAACAACCTCTTGAGACTTCACCTGGGAATACCGGGATTCTATACAAAAGCGGGCTATTTTTTGACCACGGTTAAGCGGGTTACCCCACTTACCTGGAGTCCCCCACCTCCATAAAAAGCAATTTTTAAAAAAGCTAAATGTATTATCGCTATTTTTCATTCCATCCCGTTATCCCACCGAAATGAACATTTTCATCCCGATCCCGCCTGGTTAAACCCAAGTTGCTCGAGTTCACCGCCTTATTTAAACTGATAGACAAATTATAGCCATTACAATATTAATAATGAACTCTCATTATGGCGGAAGACAAAGATTTACTTAAGACATGTTTAGCCGGCTTAAAAAGACCGTTTCCACCCGATGTATTTACAGCCTAAGTTAATGAGACACAAAAACTCAACCTACGGAAAGATCAACAGGAAAGCTATCCTGTTACGTAGATAAAATTCTTCAGCCGATCGCAAAACAACATAAGTCATAACCCAAAGATACACTAAACAGATTTCATCAACTTCGTAGGAAAATCAAAGTTTCCGAAAGAAGTGATGCTGGTGTAAACGGACGTTACGAGCTTATACACAAATATACCACAAGCTAAGGGCATAAAAATAGAAAGATAGTGTGCACAGCGAGAATTTTAACGAAAATACTCACTCCCCCCTTCCCGCCCGCCCATTTACCAAGCACTCCGTAGAGAAAGCAGTTCGACTGATTTTTCAGGAAAAGTCGTCCTAAATTCAACAAAGAAAAATAACTTGCTAACGCACGGAACCCCCATGGGAAAAGTTGTTGAAAGTGTGAAATGGAAAACAGCCAACTTTTTTTTAGCTATCAACCCATTTTATTTCTATTGTTGTTATTTTACAATACGGAAAGAAGCTGCTTGTTAGATTTACAGTCCATTGAAATCAATTTCATCCAAGGGTAACAACCAAATTTGTTATTTTCTTATTTACTATCATTATTTTTATCCTTTTTAGCTATTTCTCGTTAGCTCGAGGCATAAAATCAGAAAATTTCGCTTCACTAGAACCTTGGAAGATATTTCACAATGATACATGCACGTTGTTAGGTCTTTTTCTATATAAAACATGTATCATATCGATAATGTTAAGTAGAAGCATAATATATTTATTTATTTTGGTTTAAGTTCCTAAACCGATGACGGTCGGCGTCAAGGAGGCGCTAAACTCAATTATATCAGCTCGATTTTAGATGCATCTCTTACATAAAAGATATAGAAATGACTGAATGTTGTCAACTGCGAAGGATGCATTAGTAAATGTTGACAGGTCTTTCATAATGCAATAAAATTTATTGACAAGCGACCCATCGACTAAACTCTTTCTAGAGCGATACGAGGTCTCTCTTGGTAAAGTAGTTTTCCTATTATTCAAACGGCTCTACACGAATTTCAACCCCGAGGATTGATGCTAAAATGGCCTCTAAAACTCTTTATTCAGTTATCACTCCTAACAATCTGCTAAAAAGGCCATAATCATGTATTTCTCTCCTTAAGAAATCGCGCCTGTCTTTAAAGTTCGTCAAATCTTTGAAATAAAGGACACAGAGAGAATTGTGCATCACAATTTCTACTTCCCTTTGATTTATCACCTTATTCTTCCCCGACCAATAAAAACGGTATTTTTCTCCTTTTACTCCATGGTAAAAAAGATCACCATTACGACTGGGCATATTTTGATTATTTGTCATTTAGTTTACACCACATTCCAGCCATAGGCTAACCTAAACAATCTTTCTAATAACAATAATTCCAGAGCCTATTCCATATTAGCGATATGCAAACAAACTCTTAATTCAAATATCAAATTACAAGGAGTACTGATGAATCAGTGTTCATTAAGTTACAGGTTCTCCGCCATTGTTACTTCGCTCCTGCGTCTTGTTGAGTCTAGTCTCTTTGACGAGATCATCCGAATTCCTGAGACCACGTTCTCAGAGCTGGGCACTCTATCGCAAGTTATAGATGTCAGTTCAAATGTTTCGCGACGAACACTTAGCCTCTTTCCAGTTTTCCTAACGTTCGTACTTAAGATAGACTTGGTGAGAACTCTCTTAAGATTGCGTCGATAATTTTCCACGAAGCCAAAATATACAAACGGATTGATAGCGGCGTTGGCGATCACAAGGAACTCGGCAGTGAATGCAAAAGCAGGAGGAGTGCACCACGCATTTTGAGATTTCCTGAAAAATGTCAAAAGAAGCAGATTGATATTGAGAGGAGCCCAACAAATGGCAAATATCACAACAATTGTCACAGCCATTTTCAGTACATTTCTGTTCATTTTGTCTCGTATAATTCCTCCACGAACTGCATCTCGCAAGTGGTTCCTTTGCCTGATCAGAATCGACACTATAACTGTGTATATGCCAGCTAAAAGACTAAACGGAATTAAAATCACGGAAATACAAAGAAAGGTGATGTAGAATTTCCCAGTCGAGGGCTCTTCAAAAGCAGGCTCCCAGGATGCAATGCAGTACACTTCAGAGTTAAATTCAAATAGTTTGAAGATGTAGAAGTATGGAGCATGGATGGCTGCGCTAACCACCCAAGACAAAATTATCATATTCACCCGTAACCTGTATGTGACCATTTTGGCGCGGAGTGGAAATGCGACGGCCACTAGTCTTTCTAGGGATATTAGAACCAGTGTAAGGGTTGAGACCAGACCGGAAAAATCCTGCATGAACGTCTGCAGCTTGCAAGTTATTTCTCCTGTTACTCCAGAGAGGATCCATTTGGCTGAGGGTAATTCCAGAGCGATTTGTATAACTCTTCTAGGGATCACAAAAACTGGTATGACTAGATCCGAGATGGCCATATTCAGAATCAAAAGGTTGGTGTTTCTGTGCATATTCTTGCTTTTGCAGATTACATTCAAAATGAGAATATTCCCAAAGAGTGAAATTGCAAATACGATGACGTAGGCTGATAGCTTCCCAACGTTCTCGGCCTTTGTAGTTACGTGTTGCGTGCATCCATCATTGCCCATATCATCACCAGTCTGGTTACTCGTACTATAATTGTCAAACATGCTCAATCCGAAGAGTTTCCTACAGCATAAAAACTTCAAAGTAGTTGAAAACTCAAACGATCATGTCCGCGAAAGATTTAATTGATTTTCAAATTTCATCCCTTGTAACAAGTAATCTGATGCTTAGGATCATAAATCTCCTCTCGAATTTGCATCCTCCACTTCCTTCCAGGTAAAAGCTATGTTGACCATGTCGCACATCTATCGCCTAAACTATGTAAATATTTCCCTCGCAGATTTCCTCTCTTTCCTCTGAAACAGTAAAACTTCTGATTGTGGAATTAAAATGATTGAAGGCAGTGGCTCAAAGTTGACATCTTGTACAGGACTCTCTTGACTACCTGTATAAACGGAACCATGGTCGTAAGTAATAATACTTTGGATGTGATATTACTTTTGTCAAACAGTCAAATGTCAAATAGGCTCAATATCTAACGACAGCCAGTATGGGCCATATGTGATCTTGCATGTGAGACGGTCATATCCCAAATGAAAAAAAATACAAACGCTAATTCATTTATTCGGGCCAAAACAACTTTTTAAGAAATATCGAACAATAAAAAATCGAAATTGCCGTGTGATTGTAAAGAACATTGTTTACAATTATTGCAAATAGAAATTCGCAAGTTCGTTTTGGTAATTGAATACATTTGGAAGATAACCAAAAGTTTTAATTTCAAAGCACATTGTGGATTTAAAATTTAATTAATTTTTGGCAGTACTTAAAGTGTCTTTCCCTTTTTAATAATTCATGCAAAATCTTCAGGCCAATGACAAGAAGATGAATGTTCTCGAAGAGAGTCTTCTCATTAAAACCATCAACAGTAACAGCTTCTCCTCCGCATCTCACCGCACGAAAGGGAAAGACGTCTGTTAAATTTCTCACGTATCTATTGTCGAACTCCTCTCACAGGCTCAATATATTGGAAAGGAGAACACGCAAACTTCTGTCCTAGTTCCCATAAAACAGGTTGACACGAAGCTTGGGTACACCAAGTCAGCAACACGAAAAGGAAAATTAATTCATTTTCAACTTTGACAAGGCAAAAATACAAATAAACAGATAAGAGATTTAAGATTATGTACAAAGAGTTACAGAACCAATGATCACTTCAGTTTTTCAAATCGATTTACTAGTATCTTAAGTGTGTTAGAACACAAAGCCTTGCCTACGATCTTTTATCGCCTAGAAGGCACTTTATACGCAAGGAGTGTCATTGTGAACTTCAAAAACAAATCAATGAAGATACTTTCTTTCTTGCACGCCCAGGTTTCTTCCGTCTTTCTCGACCCTCGTAATTTCTTCTCTTCACTTCGTATTCATATAAAACGATCACTAAAAACCCAAGTGGACTAATTTTAGCCATAAATACACGAGTGCGTACGGTGTCTTTAAAGCAACATTTTCTGATTTGGGTCTTTTGTTTCTTGTTATTATTATTTGATAATCTCCTCTTTACCTTTCTCCAATTACATCTATTCGGACAAGTAATCATTACTGATTCTAACGTTCTTCTCCTCCATAGATGTCCTTAGCTCATGCAGAACTTTTTTGGGTCACAAGCATCTGCCTTACATGACGAGTACTCTCCTATTTCACAGCTAAACAATTGGGAAAGACCTCGACGCCACATAAGGAATTCATATAATCAAGCATCAGCTCACGGTAGTTGATATCGATCAGTTTCTCTTGGCATCAAGAACATGCTAAACTTCATTAAAAAATATTCTATTAGATTTCCTTAAACTCCTTCTCATAAAATATTGAGGCTTTTGGACCTCTATTTGACATACAGTCAAGTTTAAAAAGCTTTCACCCACTTCCACTTAATCTTATCATTTTGCCCGATTTTGCATTTTTCAGACCTTCGGGTTTAAAATCTTTGATTCTTCTAAAGTGATTTCCGAGCTCGCTCTCGATTTAATGCGTATCATTCCCTAAGGAGAAATGTTCTAAAAAACACTCAAGAACAATTTTATGAGGCATGGCCAAATTTTCTCTTTAAATTCATCTTCGTCCAAAATCGTATAAACGTTTACTTACAAGAATACTAAGTGCATCAGTGAACGTATCTCAATTCACTTTTAAGCGGTTGGCAATTCTGACAACAAAAATTGCTACGGCCTAAAGAAATTATCGTAATATAGGTAATGTAATTTAAGGTATCAATTGCTCTCAATCCACCTGATGTTCCTCTGCTTATGTCACCAATCATTGCTGAGATATTTTTGTGGAAGAATCGGACAAGATTTGCCGGGTTATCCACGCTTTGAGTGGCTCACAAGTAGATATGCAAAGCGACCTATTTTTCTTGAGATTAAAATCCCTCTTGAAAATTCTTACCTTTGCAAAATTATTTCTTCCTGTGAGACTGCAAACCAGTCACTTATATTATCCAATCTCTTACAATCCCGTAGGAGACACGCTCAAAATACATAACGACGACATCAATTTTAATAACATAAAATTTTAATCAAAACTGGAAGTAGTGTTCTTGATGGTTTTTTTCCACTCACGTCCTGTCCGTGGCGTGAAGGCCTCTTGGACAGGGCACGTACTTGGATAAGTGACTTGAAAAACTCTCGGTGTTACGATTTTCTCTCGTTTCTCAAATGTATGTATTCAAATTTTATTTTCCATAACCTTAAGGATTTATCAGTAGTAATGAATTTTATTAGATAAGCTGTAGTCTTCTATACGTTTACAAAGCTCCCTTGCAATTCTCTCTAGTAAAGGATTAAAATGATCAAAAAAAAAAGTCTAAAAGGATTGAATTAACGACTTAACGTGACTTAGCGGCTTTGAATTATGCACTAACTCTTTCATGGTTCGCTTCTCTTGAAATCCTTTGCGGCACAGTCTAACATGATAGTCTCTTTTTATTTCATGAAGAAGAAGAAAAAGTCAATGATATAAAGACTCATGTCTGTCTTAGTTAAGAAATTTTTTTTAGGGGAAATTTAAAGCACATAGCTTCGAAACAGATCTTAACGAAAAATTTGTGTGTCTTTCTTGTGGTGAGGCATCCGAGGGTACTTTGTTGGAAGTAATTTGGTTTCATCAACTAGGTTTGTGATATAAATTGGCCACCGTGAGGAGTTTTCAAAGCTGACGTTTCGAGCGTTGGTCCGTCGTCAAAGCAAAAGAGGTAAGCAACTAGTTTTCAGAACTTATAGCCAGAATCTCACTTTTTTCACTTGCACAATAATTTAAGCTGTCAATAATTGATTGTTCAACTTCAAATTTTATTCAATAGAAGAGCTCTTGCCCGGGATTCACTGTGAAATCGGAGATGTTACGCGAGTCGATGTTAAATATCTCAAATTCATTCACTTGTTGGTTAAAGATGTCTGAAACTCAAAAACAGCATCCGCTGGATGAATCGTACATGTAAAATTATTCAGATCAAACTTCCTTGCATGCAGACAAATTAATGTTTTTAACTCGAATCTCGTTTCAGTTTCCAATTAATTTCTTTGACAGGTTTCAGGTGTAAATCAATTTCTTTTGATATTATAGAGTTCTTTGAATTTATGTAATTACCGATAACATGTACTGAAATAAAAGACAACTTTTAAAACCAGTTTGAGAAAAAAATATTTAACCAGGTCAGCCAAGTAAAAAAAGTCTGAATAAGACTTCTTGATAGCAATCTTGAGTCGCTTTGAAAGACAACATCACCTTGTTTAAGCCATAAAGCCATTTCGCTTTAAATTTAAAGAATTCTGCAAATTAATTCAAACATATTCTGTTAAAACAATACTTATCAACAGTTACTGGTCGTGGTAACCTACAAATTGCTTTCATTAGGCGTTTTCCAGGAGAAATTCACTTTGTGAAGTTGACTTTTTGTCGGTTTTTAGACATCAATGATTGATGAGTGAACAGATGTCTTTGATAGATGTATACCATATTCAAATTTTTTCTCTCTCCTATTGTGAACTTTTGAGACCCTGTCTGAGGCTCTGAGCTCAATTGTGTACCTAGCCCAATTAAAATCAAATTTGCCTTGTTAGAACAGAAATTGTAAATTATTTAGAAGGGAGGTTCTTATCTAGGGTGAATGTATCTTCAAAGGAAATTATTCGGCAAAGACGGATCTTAACGAACAATTTGGTTATCTTTCTTATGATGGGCCGTTTCGCATCTTTACTGAATGTTCACAACTAATTTCATGAACAAAAATCTCAAACTAAGTTCTTTGACTAACACTTGAATCTTTTTCGAAGAAACCTTTAAGGCAAAACATACGTCGTCGCGACACATCATAGATTACCATTTGCTTATCATATTTTTAACTGCTCTGCCGCATACTTAGTTAATGTTATTTTAAAAAAATCTCACAGAGCTCTTTTACTCACACAATAAACCGCTGAGGCCTATCTTGAATTAGTTTGATCGAGCAAAGTATGGCAGAGTAATCGAATATGAAATTTGACCTTTTAATAATCAAATGTTTAGAGGACCATTGAGTTTTGAGTTCCATTCCATGGCAGAATGCTTCACTGCAGAATTACGAAAGCTTTAGTACTTAGCGATTAAACCTTCACTGAAACCGCAGCCTAAACACAGCAAAATTTAAAATCAATATTCACCGTATTGTGACACAATGAAAAAATTTACATAACCCGGTGGGTGACACTATCGTTGTGAGGTATTTATCATCCAATAACTAGCAGTTTCTATGAGGAAACTAAAACCAAATATATTTGTATCGCCACCTTTTACTCTAGAAAAGCTTTGCTAAATACTGTGTTTTTAGGTTGTTTTAGTTTTTGTTTTTGCTTTCTTATTTGTTGTTGTAGTTTAAAAAAACCGCACCAAAAATCCGACTACGGATGCAGCAATTTTGAATATTGCTGGGCAACCTGGCTGCACATGCATGACATGACGTCTAAAAATTCCACTAAAATAGCGGGAAAGTAGACATGCAGCTTATGATCTAGTTATTGGCTTTCACGTTTTTATTTAGTTCGTGTCTCCGTTCGAATTGATTCGG